CTCACAAGAGCTGCCCAGTAGGTGTATGGCCATTCTGTCTTAGCTTTTCTTTTGATGTTATCTGGGTACTTGGCTAAATTAGGCTAGCTTTTGGATTACTAAAATCTTAAAACAATGCTTTCTTGTTTTAATAGCGAGTGGGCTTGAATAAAACTGTACACCATTATGAAATGGTTTTGGCAAAGTTCAGAATTGTGCAGTTATAATAAACTCCCCACAGCTCCTCTCCTTGCTTCCTGACTCTCGGGAACGCAGTCGCTTTCAGATCACAACCTTGCGTGCCTGTCAGTTTTTCACAGTGGAAAATCAAGCACTTGTTCTGATAAGGAAATTAAAGTTATTTAGTTAGTGCTGAGGACAAAATTAATTTAAATGCTACCGATCACCGAAGAATTCTATCTTTGGACCTACATACTATGATTTTAGAAATTTCTACCAGATGATACTTGCTAGTTAAATGTATGTTTGTGGTTCTGGTAGGTCAAGTGGTAAACTTATCTTTTTGACATGGAATTTATCGTTTTACCCTAAAGAATTTATAAGAATATTTCTCCCATGGCCTATAAGCATATCTGTTAACATCTTTTAGATTTAAAATATATAGGCTGATTCTTCAAGTGTCTTTCCCATAATTCTTTGAAAATTAAGTAATGGTAATTAATGGTAAATTAATATACTGGTAATGATAAAAGGAGTAGCTGTTGCTATCTTGATTCTCTTGTAATAACCATTCCATCTGATCCGCATTTCTACCCTTGCTGCAGAGGGTTAATTGAAAAGATATGCATCAAAACACTTGCTTAAAAGAGGCATAGCCCTTTGTTTGGTGAGCAGGAATTGCTTATAATATTAACACTTCCTGTCTGATAAAATACTATATTTTAAAAAATAAGCTACAATGTATAAAACCAAGGTCATTTCCCACAAAATGTTCATGTTCTTTGTGATTACAAAACACAGCATCTTGTAAAATATTTCCAATTGTGTTAACTTGAGAAGTTGAGTACTAATGCTTATTATAAAAGTGTCATGTCTCTTAGAATTGTAGAAGCCTAAGCAGTATATTTCTTGTTTTATTTGGAAAATTAAGTTATCATTATTATTGTCTTTAAGATTACATTTTGCCACAACATATCACCATTGTGATTCTCAGACTCACAACGAAAGTTATAAAAACATGAGATTGTCTTCAAAAAAGGAACTATTTACAAAACAGGACCAGAAGTAAAATTCCCATTTTGATTGCTAGTCCTATGATGGATACACCTTTTAAAGCATATATATCATTGGATATGGGCTTTTTCAAAGTTAAGTCATACTAAGCAAACCAGTTGGTCTGAAATATAATACATTTTACATGTTCTTCTATTGGTGTGCATTCCTCAGTGATACAATTGGTACCTAAAAGTGCTAATCTCGTTTCATTTACTCATTTCAGGTTTGGTAGTTACAATGCGAAAAAGACACAATGAACCAGTTTCGACGCAGAGGCATCCCCACAGGTTTGAGGAACCGGAGGGTCTGTGTGCTGCTGGCAGGGTTACTTTCTTAGAGAAATGAAATTTCCAGTTGACCCGCCTGCCCAGTGCATTCTCCAAAATGATCCACATTCTCATGCATATTCATGAATCCTGCTCTGTTTCCACTCATTTGTATGCACACATTCTTCCCCGAGTTCACACAGGTCAATGCTACAGATGACGTGGTCGATAGAAATTCTACGGGGTCTCATGAGAAAAAGCAGCACCTTCTCCACAAAAGTCCATGGAAGTTTATTCCTTAACATGCTATTAAAGCAAAATGCACATCTTTAACGGCTTTCTTTCACCTACAGAATTCTGCTTATAGCTAATAAACAGTCACCCAATTGGGTAATTATAGAAAGGAACAGCAAGGCTTTGTATTCACAATTACATTCAGAAAAAGCCTTACAAGAGTCTATGAATACCCCCAGGCATTGAGCCTGTGGTTCCAACGTCAGTCTTAGACTACAGGTCAGCTACAAAGAAAACAGCTCCTGTTCATGGGCCACTGCTGTCCGCCTCACAGAGTCGGTACTGTCCAGTTCACTGAAATTTGTCTTGAAATGATATCATGTTCACGTGAAAAAACTTGTTCTGACTGGAAACAACTGTAGAGATAATAAAATTCTTCCTGGTCTTAGGATTCTCCAGACCTATTTTTCACATGCCCTTTATTTTTCCCTGAGGAAATGAATATAATTTACAGTATTTTGCTACTATTCTCAAGGTATTCTCTCCTATATGTACAGTTCTTGCCACCTTTCTCTGAACCTTCTCTAGTGAATGCTGCCCTTTCGTTTTCCAATGGAGTCTGACGAAGCGGGGATAGGCATTCAGTGCTGGCTAAATTATAACCCAGGGCTACTTTCAAAAGTGTGGCTTAGTGTGACACCAGACAGCAGACTTAAAACTTGAGTGATCTTGAAAGTTAATGGAGGATATTTCAGTTTCATAAATACATGAACATACATGTCACATGTAACATACATGTGACTGTTTTGGAAAGCCCAAGAACTGCAACACGGGTCATTCTCTACTGAAAAGTGTCATCTGCAATGTGGTTATGGCCGGGCAAGGAATTGTCTAATAAAGGGCACCTCGTTGGTACATGGAGCTGCCGACAGGCACTTTGCAGCTGAGTGTGCACCTTCCTGGTCAGAAACCCACGGCTCTCCTCTCGACACTGGCTTTTGCCAGCCAAGGGAGGACACTTTCCACCAAATGAGGTGGAGAGAAGTCCACGTCCGCTAGAGGGTGCTTGCTAGAGACAGGCATGGCAGCCCTGCCCTCTCGGCCTAGAGCTGCTTCCCTGAAGGTGCCCTCTCCTTGCTTCAGGCAGCTGCTTCCAGAGGGAGAACAGGGCAGTTCCTGGGGAGGTGCTCAGGGACAGTTACCACTGGCTGATTAGCACCAAGGAGATAAGCGGGACCAGGTGTCCACAGACCTCTTGTATCTCCTCCCTGACCCCTTTGCTACCCAGGTCTTTTCTCCAAGTTGTCACACTGCCTCCCACAAATTGAGCACACGTCACCTGGGAAAGACTAAGTCTTAAAACTACTGCCTGATGAACACTCTGCATTGCAGGTATCTGGAGAATGCCCTGTCAGTACCATGAAATGCTTTCTTTGGAGAGATGAGAAACCTTTTTTTGAAGGAAGGGAGCAAAAAAATCAAAAGGTTACAACATGCCTTATTTAGAAATATCTGGGGACTGGAATCCATTGTATCGCCACTCCCTTTGCACAGACAGGCCTCTGGGCTCCCTGGGATGGACAGGGCTCCGGCCAGCTTGCTCTCTTCCCACCCTTCCCCCTCCCAAGTGAACACACACAAAAACAACTTGGTTCCACAGGGATGGCATAAAATGAAAGTCTGGCTTAATTTGGCACTTCATTTAGTTCCAAGATATAACAAAATAACTCTACATCAACAAAAAATTTAACTTTTACAAGTCAGCAGCTGTAGACTGAAATTCATAGCTTTCTGGGTGGCTTGTACGAAGTATAATCCCTTTTCTTCAAGGCCAACCAGGTGTAGCTTGGTGGTCTCCTAGTTATTACATGTCTTGGTGTAGGAAATGGATGTCTGTGTGTCCAGCAAGGTACTGAGGGTCTGTCCGTACCCGAAGCTGGAGAAGAAAGTACACAGAGCCCTGGGCTAGCCAGCAGAAAGGAGCCCCTGCTCGGGCAGGAGATTCAGAAAAGTTTGTGCGAAGAAGGCTTTAGAAAGGAGAAGAAATCCCAGGGAAGCTGCATTCACCTCTACGGTTCTGCTTACACCTGTGCACTGGCTAAAAACCAGGTAAGGAGCGAGTTGGCTTCCGGTAAGCCAGAGCTCAAACTACTCATGGGCTGTGTCTTTGGGGCTGAGAGCCGTAAGGCCTTGCTCCAGGACTACTCCACAGTAAAGAAAAGATCTTTCCCTTCTTGTGTTCCAAAGTTCTCAGAGAGGTGGATTTAACCCCTTATCACTTGAATCTTTTTTGATTAGTGACTTAATCCAAGGATCAAGGGCCAGAGTCTTGATCACTCTGGATTTTGCCGAAGAGAAAAACCTCTGGTCCAGGGTTGTCCCCTGACTCTCGTTTACACAGTGAACTTGCTCAAACAGTTGACCAGCCTTGGCCTCCCCATGCCCACTGGGCAATCTGCCCATCATTCAGGGCCTCCTGGACCAGGCCAGAGCATCATATCATCTGCAGCGGTGCTGCAGGTGAAGTGACGGGACACCAGGAGGAGAAAGGACGTGCTCGGGTAGAGGAAGCAAACACAGTTCTGCATTTTAAAACATGCCGTATCCTGGCTGACCTTGTAAAAGTATTAAACATACAATATAGCTGGTGCTGTGCCTAGTATTGACTGGTAATCAAGATGTGAAATTAGATCTGTTCTCTTGAAATAGAAAAAAGGGTTTTTAAAGAAAAAAGGAAAAAAGCCCAGAATCTCTTCCATGGAATAATTTTTAAAAAAGTTATACGACAGTTTAAAAAATAAATTGCCAAAATATATGAATGCACAGATTGTGGATGGTTGCACTGTGGAACCTCCTGATATTTTCCCTTGCTTATATATAAAAAAAGGGTATCTGTTATTACTAGATTATTTCTTTCTACTCTTTTTTTAAAAAGTATATGTACAAGCTCAAAACATATATTAAACTTCCCTCTGTGCAATTTCACTGAACATTCCTATGGCTGATCCCACGTCCCTTGTCCCTACACAGTGCCTCCTCTAAGGTGCTCTCGCTTCTCTGCATAGTACAGGAGAAAGAACTCTTTAGCAGGGCAATGGAGAGTAGGGGAGATAGAAAATGAGCTTGACAACTACTCCCCTCTCCCTACATCATTAACATGAAAACCAACAACAGCAGGCACATACACCCAGTTAGAAAGCCCAATCAGTGAAACACAGCACAAGCCCCGACCTTGCTAAACTGAGAGATTCCTATACCAACATGCATTTTCCTTTTGGTGTTCTGTATGTTCCCTTTTGAGTAAATTCTTACTGAATAGCTCCAGTATTTTTATAAGAAAAATAAAGGTTTGGACCTCCCATTTACCCATATAATGTTTATATTGTTCGTTAACCCATCTCCCAGACATGCTAAAGCATAAAACCTATAAAAGTGCTCTCAGAATGGAAGTGGTTTGTGGACCTAACATGACTTTCTGAACAGATGGGGACATGTCGGCTGTGTTGTTTGTCTAAAGCAAACCTGCTGGGAGAGTTTGGAGTTCTCTACCTTTTCTGCAGTCAGTCAGTGGTGGAGTTTGGAGGGAAGGACCAATGACTCATTAACCTGGCTACGGTCTTGACAGACACGCGGTAACAAATAGATCCGAGCTGCTGTTTGCATCACATCCCTGAAAGAAGCATCAAGGCTTACCCAGATGGCTATGGGGGCCAGTTCTTGACTGAGTTGTGGCAGGTAGAGAATTAGCTGTGCTGCCTCTTGGGGAAAAGCTTCTTATAAATCCAAGGAAGACTCCTAGATGTTTCCCAACAGTGACAGCTGGATTTCCTGAACTTAGCTTGGGGCTGATGTCTGCTGGTGATTTCCACGGCCAATTGCTTTTCAAGTTTGTGCCATCTGGGGCCCACCAAGCTAACAGCTCTACCATGGTTCAGTTTGGAGCCATTCTTAAAAAGAAAACAAACAAAAAGACATAGAAAAGATACCCAGCGTGCTGCACTTTCTTGCAACACATCATGATGTGTACTGCTCCAAGAAGTCAAATGGAAAACAGGGAAAAGATTATTCACAACAAAAGCAGGTATCGTTCTTTGTACAATTGCTACTGAATAATGTGTAGCTTATTTTTTTGTGTTTGTCAAAAAATCTCAGAAATGGCATAATTCAGAAAGCTTATCAAAATATGCCTTTCTAGGTAAAATGGGCTTTGTTGGTTCAATAGTTTCAGAAGTCCAGTTTTAAGACCTAGATATACAGCAAAAAAGTTGACTTTTCTTTTGAAAGAAAAAAAATTAGTTATAGCTGCTCTAGGCTGGGTTCTCAGGGAAAAGCAGTAAAGATAGTGACTTTTTTTGTTGTTGTTGCTGTTATTCCACCAAGGTTTCTGGAAGTGCTTTTCCTGGGCTTCAAGTGTGTTTTATTCAGAAGGAAAAGCTCTTTCCAACACCTACACCGGAAGGCCAGGGCAGGAGTGGCTCAGGCTGGGGCCCCTCTGCCTGGGCATCTCTCAGTCGATGAACCTCTGGCAGGCCTTCTTCCAGCGGCAGGAGGTGCACCACATGTCTCGATTCTCCATCCCGTACACCTTCCGGCATTTTTTGCCCTCTCCCCTGGGCTTTCTGTAAGGCAGACAAGGAAGATTAGTTCAGTGGGAAGAATTCGAAGGGCATTCTACGGAGAGCTCGAAATCCTGAGAGACAGAAGGGAAATATAGTAGGGGTTCTCTCTAGGTTCAGACTTTAATATATGCTGGATGTGTTCATGTCCACTACACTTAGCTGTAGTGGACACAATTTGCTACTATAACCCTTAAGCTTGTATTTGTCCATTTGTGGACATGTCCATCTGGCCATCTTCATAAAAGTGAATAAGTAAACATAAGAAGTGCCAATAGAGAACACCATTGCTCTTTCAAGTTTTTAAATATGCACTTCCAAGCACTCCCTTCTCCAATTTCTAGTACAGTAGTCCCCACCTACCCACGAGGGACACGTTCTAAGACGTCCAGTGGATGCTTCAAACTTCGGATAGTCCTGAACCCTATATGTATACACACACATGATTTCTTTTTCCTTCTTCATAATTTCATGGGGAGAAGATTCATTCTTACTGTAGATCTTAGCAACTTCAGCATATAGTTTTTTTTTCTTTCCTAATGTATTCAGTCACACTTTCACCTTTTCACCTAAAGGAAGCACTTCAACAACTCCTTTTTGGCACATCTGCATTGCCAACATCGCCACTCTTGCTCTTTGGGGCCATTATTAAGTAAAATAAGAGTGACTTAAACACAAGCACTGCGCCACTGCAGTAGTTGATCTGATAACAGAGACGGTTACTAAGTAAGTGACTAACGGGGGCGGGGGGAAGCATAGACAGTGGGGACAGGCTGGACAAAGGGAGAGTTCATGCCCTGGGCAGGACGGTGCCTGAGATCTCGTCATGCTACTCAGAATGGCATGCAATTCAAAACTATGAGTTGTTTATTTCTGGAGTTTTCCTTTAATATTTTTGAACTGTGGTTGACTGTGGGTAACTGAAACTATAGAAAGAAACCACACATAAAAGGGGACTACTGTGTTCTCCTAGGGAGACCCTGCTTGATCTGTATTAAAAACTGTATCTTGTAGCTCCTTTAATACAGAGGCTAATACAACATGACTCTAACTAGACCCAATAATCACTATTACCTATTCTGCAAGGAAACTTACTACAAACCATTACCGCTCCCCAACCCCCTCCCCCAACAAATCTTCATTAATAGTTAATGAATGGAAAAACCACGGGAAAAAAAGGAAAGGATTTTTCCTCGATTGTGAAGAAATTTTATGGACAATTATGGTTTTTTTTTTTGTTGTTGTTGTTCTTCTGTTTTTACAGTTAATTCCCTTGAGATGAGGTGCGTGGAGTTTTGAGCAGTCGTACCTCAAGCTGACGGTGCCCCTGGGTGGGGAGGACAGGATTGTGTGGCCGTGCTGTCTCTGCTCTCCTGTGCCTACTGGATGATGATGTGTTGGTGACACCTGGCAAGTAACACATGGAAAACAAAGTTGACAGGGTGAGTTCTCCACCCCATGCATTTATTTAGCCTTTGCCATGTGGGCAGTGGTCCTTGGCCGTTAGAAGTGGGGATGAAATGCTTTCTTCACAGAGATCACATGTAGGATGAAGGGGGGATGCTCACGGCAGAATTTAAATCCATTCCCAAACAGAAAAGATCTATCACCAACCAGTATTTTAAAAATCTTTTGTTATTTCATATCTATGCATTCCAAGTTGCCCATAATACCATATTGTCACTTGAATAATATTTTAAACCTTAAAGCATTTTTTAAATTTCATTGAATCCTCATGAACTCTGTCAAGTAGGGCAAGTCTCATGATTCCCTTTTTAGAAGATGTAAACTACCTAGAGAGGTGAAGAGATTTATCTAAGATTACAGAGCTAATCAGTGACAGTGATGCAACGTGGGCCTAGGCCTTCTGTTTGCTCTATTAGATCAATCACAACTACTAAATAAATAAATTTGTGTATAAGTCATCCCGACAGCAGACTCTGGGGTCCAAACAGGAATAAATGCAAGAGGCAAAGCGCCTGAGCCAATCGGTGTCTGTTATCTGTGGAATACTGACTGGGCCCTCACTATGGGCTAGGTACACTGACAACAGCTTTGATTTTCACAGCGACTCTACACAATAAGTACTAGTATTGTTCCCCATTTTATAGATAAGGAAACCAAGGCAGAGGAAGGTTAAGTAACTTGCCCACAGTCACGGCGCATGCAATGGCAGAGCCAGGGCTGTACTGCAGGTCTCCTGATGCAGAGCATGTGTTTAACCCTGTCATACTCTGCCTCTCAGGCATAAGGATAGGAGGGCCTCTGTTGTCCCTCACTCTGCCCCTTTGCATCACCTGCTCCCATAAAACTTAATATCTTCCCAGCTCCTGGCCTTCTTAAAAGCTGCCAAAAAATTTTCATAACAGGAAAAAAATGATGTTTCAAGTAATTACACAGTCTTGCCATATGTGGGAAAGCAGACATTTAATAAATTTAAAAACTTAGTCACCTAGAAGCCAATGTGGTCATAGAAATACCATTGCTAATTAATCGTCATGGAGCATTCCTGAGGCATACATATAGCACTGATTTTCTCTAATGGGAACTAGTACTTTCTCTTTCCTTTCAATGTAAAGGAATGCGCATCAGTGTTATTTTCCCAGACATTAATTTTAATGCTGTGGTTTGGATGTCCCTTCTAAAACTCATGTTGAAATTTAAGTGCCATTGCAACAATATTAAGAGGTAGGACCCTTAAGGGGTGATGAGGCCATGAGGGCTCTATTCTCATGGGTGGGATTGGGGTCGTTGTAAATGGGCAAGTCTGGCCTTCTCTCACCTTCCGCCATGTGCTGACACAGCAAGAAGGCCCTCGCCAGATGCCGGCATTTTGATATTGGACTTCCCAGCCTCCAGACTGTTAGCCAATACATTTCGGTTCATTATAAATTATCTAGCCTAAAGTATTCTGTCATAGAAGCACAAAAAGAACTAAGACACTTAAAAAATTATAAGTAAAAATCTAACATTTTAAACTTCTATTGCCATAAGTCTGAATTACTCTGTACCACTGGTCTTTCTGCTGAAGTTGGGTGGAACAAGGAACAGCAGATGTGATTAATATACAGAATTTAAAAAAAAATAAAAACTTTCGGAAGGCTGAGGCAGGAGGATAGCTTTAGCCCAGGAGTTTGAGGTTGCTGTGAGCTAGGCTGACACCATGTCACTCTACCCAGGGCAACAGAGTGAGACTCTGTCTCAAAAACAAAAACAAAACAAAAAAAATCTTTGGAGTTCAGTGCATTCATTTGATGTATATAGATATGTAGGTCCTTCTAAGAGCAGAAGGCCCCTCACCCCCATCCCATATGGACTTGGTTTTGTACGAGATGCATAGTAGACGGGGTGAATATCTCAGATGCCCATGGCCACTGTAGATGATCTAGAATTGTGCCTATGAATTGTTTTAAATTATCAGAGCAATAAAAATAAAAGTTTAAAAATTACTGTAGACCTTGTAGAATCCCAAGAATACAGCCTCATTTAGTCAGAGAAATGGAGTTCAACTGACAGGACAGTGACACTACTTCCATCAGCTGGGGATAATGTGGAAGGTTCTAGATTGTACAAAGTTGCCATAGTCCTTGTACATGAGATAATATGAGCTTATTGGATGTTCTTCATTCGATAAATGTTTTTGCATCAGGCATTGTTCTAGATTCTGAGGATACAGTCATGAAGAAAATAAAGTCTCTGCCCTCAAAGAGCTTACATTCTAGTGGGGAGACAGACAGTAAACACAAACACAGACAAGGTTGTTTTAGTGATAAGTACCTGAAAGGAATAAAATAGGGTAATAGGCTAAAGTGTAATCAAAGGAGAGGGCATTTATTTAGGGTGCTGAGAGAAGGCCTCTCGAGGAGGTTATTTTTTATCTACAGGGCATTCCAGAGAAGGGGAGAGCAAGGAAAAAGGCCTCCAAGCACACAGATCCCCCATGGGGCCAGAGGGTGCTCTGGGTGGAGAGGAGATGGCAGCATCGGCTTATGCCTCTGAGCTGCGATGAAGGATCTGAATGTTATTCTAAGTGCAATGGCAGCCACTGGAGAGTTTAAAAAAAAATGAGACATCTGATTAATGCTTTAAAAAGATCTCTTTGGCTCCTTGGGGAATGGATAGGAGACAGCCTGGAAAGAAGCCCTGCAGACTAGTTAAGAGACTTTTGCAGGATCCCAGGCAAAAACATACCGTTGGTTGTGGGAAGGGGCTGGATTCCTGTCCTTTAGAGGCACAGCTGAGGACTTGCAGATGGATGGGATGTGGGATGAAGAAAGTTGCAGATGCATCTTCAGATGAATGAAAGATGAGTCAGGAGGAGTCAAAGAGGAATCCTAGGTTCTGGCTGAGGGGCTGGGGGGGATGGTGGTGCCACGTGCTGAGAAGGGAAAACTGGAGAAGTGCTGGGTTTGGCGGGTGGGGGCGTGAGGAACAGGTTTTTGAAAATTCCATGAGCAGAGTTTGAGGAATATGGATCTGTTTGAGGACTGTCTTGGTCCATTTTGTCCTGATATAAAAGAATACCTGAGACTGGTAATTTATAATAAACAGAAATTTGTTTCTTGTAGTTCTGGAGGCTGGGAAGTCCAAGGTCAGGGGGCTGCTTCTGGCAAGGGCTTCTTGCTGCAGCATCCCATAGTGCTTGAGAGAGGGCCAAACTTGTTTTTTTTAAACATATATACTTTTGCAATAATGACATTAATCCATGAGAGCTCTGCCCTCATTACCTGATTATTTCTTAGAAGTCCCACCTTTCAACATTGTTACATTGGGGATTAAGTGTCCAACACATGAACTTCGGGGGACACATCCAAACCATAGCATAGTCCTGTGGCAGGAATGACCCCCTCCGTAGCCTTTATTCCTGCTAATGGCTCTCTTAACTCTGGAGTTCTGGGCATGCACTTATGTGTGTAGCCTCTCCCCATTCCACAACAGACGTGGGTTTCCACAGGGTATAGCATAGCAAGAGACAGAGGGGACCCATTTCATACTTTGGTATGTGGCTTCACTCTGTGGGAGGCTCAGTATGACTTGTGAGTTTTCCTTGAGACTTTAAATAGGAAGACAATCACGTTTTAGCTTCTTATTTTAGTTGGGGACGAGGGTGGGGAAACCAAGGGAGTGACTAGGGTGGGAAACTACTATTTATTCAGTCCTTACAAATGTGAAAGATGGGCACCTAGGTTATTTATTATCTCTTTTAATCTTCACATCAAGCCTGCAAAATAAGTGACCTATAGCTGCATCTTGTAGATAAAGAACCTTAGGCTTTGAGCAGGGAAGGGACCTGAACAATATCCCAGAGGTAAAAGTAGCCCTAGCAGCAATACACTGTGAGCTTGCTATGTAAGCTGAGTACCTTCTGTACGTTACCTAATTTAATCTTCACAATAAATAGAACTATCCTATCTATTGTTTCCATTTTATTTTATTTATTTATTTATTTATTTTGAGACAGTCTTGCTGTGTTGCCCATGCTCGAGTGCCATGGCATCAGCCTAGCTCACAGCAACCTCAAACTCCTGGGCTCAAGCAATCCTTCTGCCTCAGCCTCCCGAGTAGCTGGGACTCCAGGCATGCGCCATCATGCCTGGCTAATTTCTTTCTATTTTAGTAGAGACAGGGTCTCACTCTTGCTCAGGCTGGTCTCTAACTCCTGACTTTGAGCGATCCTCCCGCCTCGGCCTCCCAGAGTGCTAGGATTACAGGCATGAGCCACCGCGCCGGCCTATTGTTTCCATTTTAGAGATGAGGAAATGGAGAAGTGCATTGTCCAGGCCACACAGTTAGTAAGTGGCAGAGCCAGGATTTGAACGTGGCTGTCTGATACAAGCTGGCCTTGGAACTTACTTCTGAATGATGTCAAAGCCCTGTTCTTTCCACTCTTCCATCCTGCCACATAATTAAGGGAAATATGTGGTCTAAAATAAAGCTCTATAAAGCATTATTTTGGCACTCTCTCCTAGTGGTCTTCATATTTCAATCTTTGTTTTATTTCCTAACCATTTCTAAGTTCTATTTTGCAGCATGTTTTATAAAGTTTAGAATATACTTGGAAAGTATTACATGATATTACTTCTAAATAAATAAAATTATTGGGCCATGTGTTCATAATTTGTCTACTTATTAGGTATGACCTCAGAAGACTTTAAAGAACTCTAAACTATTATAGTCTGCAAAAATTGTGGCTAATCTCTCCCATGTGTTGAAATATTTGTGTTATATGAATCAATCCTAAATAGGGAGACTCCCCTTTCTCTGACCTGTTTTATAGGAATGGGGCATGTCAAAGGTAGCAATCACAGTAAGTGCCCCATAATATTAGCCTATACCAGGCACTGTCTGAATAATACAACTCTACAAGGTAGTATTAGAGTAGAGGACATTACTTTAGAAAGGCCACATGATTGGCTAGAAATCACAGTCTGTAAATGCCAGAGCCAGGATTTGTAACTAAGTCTCACATTAGAGGAGTAATACAGATGTTGTACGCTTCTGCAAATACGTTGCAGAAATAACTTCTTTGTGATTTTCTATCAAGAGGGGGAAAAAAAACCCTTTGGTTTGGTTTTAACCTCTTATAACATACTATTCTGAAACCTCCCACAAAGCATTAAAAAAAATAACCCAACCAGCTAAGCATCTAACGATTAAGCACTGCTCTTTCAGGTTTGGGGACCCTTCCCAACAGCTTGAAGCCTGGAACTGCCCTTGGGCAGCAGGCTGACCAGCTGCTACTTGCTTGTTGGGGGCTGTTAGGGAATGAATTTGCATCCTCCCCAAATTCATATTTTGAAGTTCTAGCCCCCAGTGTGGCTGTATTTGGAGACTTAAGGAAGTAATTAAGATTAAATGTGGTCATAATGGTGGGGCTCCGAGCCAACAGGATTAGTGTTCTTATAAGACGAAACACCAGAGGGCTGGTACACCCACCCATACTGCATGTTCGCTCGCTCTCACTTGTGCATGCACAGAGGATAGGCCATCTCCAAGCCAGGAAGAGAGCCTTCACCAGGAACTGAACTGGATGACACCTTGATCTTGGGCTTCTAGCCTCCAGAACTGTCAGAAGATAAATTTCTGTTGTTTAAGCCACCAAGTCTATGGTATTTTGTTATGGCAGCCTGAGCTGATTAATAAGCCAAGAGCTCTTAGTTTTCTGCCATGAAAAGCCAGGAAAGAAATGGAGATAATTAGAAGAAAAGGTGGGTCATTAGGGAAAAACTGGTCAAAGAAAGTTGTAATTAATGAGGGTCTCCTTCCCACCTCTCTCCCCATAGCCTTAGGCTAGAAAAGATTGAACTTCCAGTTACATTTGTAAATATGTAGTTCAGCCTTCTTGGCTATACACGTCTGGGAAGAGGTCTTACCCTGGGAACTTATTAAAGCTCACAATGTTCAGGAAACCTACCATAGGCAAATGAGTAAATAAAATCCTGCAACCCTTGGGATTCCTCAGAAAGGGATTTTTCAAAGACGTGGGAGAAAAGTAAACCCTAATCAGAGTTGACAACCTTGGGGCATTTGTTTTGGAGTACAAAGAGAAAGGTGTTTTTTAAAAAAGCATTTAATATGAAAACTGATAAATCCTTCGGTTTGGATACAGCTGAAGCCATCATTAATACTAATTCATTCCTTTTTAGTGCTTCTATCTGAAAACCCTATTATACCAATTTAGAAGGTAGGAATTCACATGTTCTTAGATTCCACCTGGCTCCTCATCTTCTAGGGGCTGGACTGGCACTCTTGGAGAATTCAGGGACAGTTGCTGGCACCTAGTCAGTGGGCATGTGACAGTCCTGTGTCTGTATGGTGTGGACCATCAGGAGCCAGCCCACCAGGAGAAGGAAGAGGACAACAAGCACCCACTTAATTTTTTAAAGCAGCGATAGAGAGTTTAGCAACATAAAGAACATTCCTAGTGGTAAAGTTCTTGTTTTTCTAGAGTAGAACAAAAGCCTTTGAAAATACCACCTCCACCCTTATCTTACCGTTACATCGGAATGGCAAGCTTGACTGCCTTAACAGTCTGAAGTCTTTGCTGAAACAGATTACATCACCAGGAAGATTGGAAATTTTCTGGTGAAAGAATAAATTGGAAGCTGGCATAGGAATAGCCAGTGAACCCAACCACTCCATATACTTTCTGTCAAAGCTCTTGGCTAGAATGCCCTTGGTAAACAAAGAGTGAAATGAGGGACTCTGTGAAAAGTCAAGGATATTGAGATGAGGGGAGAGGTATACACTGTGTCCACAGCAGAGATTTAAACTTTCATTGTTGAAAAACAAACGATAGAAGGCATCCTGCTGGTATCCTACTCTGTAAGACATTTAGGAACTATGGAGGACATGTAGTTATTAATAGCAAAAACTATTCAGAATGATTTTTCTATACTTTGGAAGGAGATGATTTAATTAAGAAAGCAAAGGGAAAAAAATATTCCGGTTTGGTTGGTCACAGAGGTAATTTGAAAAGAGGGTTGGACTGGGCTACTCCATCTACACGCTATGCTTGTCTTTATTGCAATGAGCAATATGGCACATGCTCTTGAAAATTCTTCCCAAGTCAAAGGCAGGAGTTAACAGGATGCAGAACAGCAGGTCTTGATAATTCTGGAATTGCAGCTGCCATTCTAGGTGAACACAAAAGGGTTTTCTCAAATGTAATATTGAGAGCCACTCTGCATCTTTTCCTACCAAAGAAAAAAGTCCCCAAAAAGACAGATTGTTAACCTCTGACGCTCACATCAGTGGGTCAATGTTCTTGCCAGAAGCAAAACTAATACTGACACATCTAAACTGTTCTCTTCTATTGTCTAGTAACAAGGTCACTCTTGCAGAGCTACCAGTAGTTACTACTATGTAGTGAAACAGGAGACTCCAGATCCATGGTATTGTTTAAAAATCTTGTTCCAGGAGTATTTTCTGGAAGCCACCATTTCCCAAATTGCTGCCAGCAGGATGCTTTTTATTGTTGGCTATTCCTCTATGAAATTTAATAAATATTCATTGACAGAGCACCACATAATTCATTCAGCCATTTTCATTTTTATCAGCTCCACAGAAGGCTTTAGACTTTGCTAGAAACCTCTGGGAGTTGCCAGTGGTTGACAATAAGAAGCTTTTGTGAGGTCCTTAGGGAGTGGGGAGGAGAAGAGAAAATAAGGTTAAAATCATAAGCCACTTTCTGAACCTTATCAGGAGTGATACACCTCTGTGAGCATCGACAGTGTGTAGGTCTATGGCTACTCCATGATAAGCTATAAAAGACCCAATACATTGTTAAATGAATGGTTAGGAATCAAGTTAATTCATGGTGATTTATCAGACAGCAATCATTTAATATGTCAAATCAATTCTTATGTACTACTTAAATATCATTGCATTATTTCAGTACTCACTTATTTTCAAATTATCCATCAGCATGGATTATTCAGACTTTGAAAGAAAAAAATGATTTCAATTTATTTCTTTTGAGCCTTCAAAATGACATACCTACAAAATAATAGTTTCAAAGCAATAAATTTTATAAAGTTACCTATAATGATAAATACCATCTTTTCTATACAAAGTCTGACTTTAGCTATTAATTTTATAGTCTTTGGAAAGAAATATACTACAACACAAAAAAATCTCAATACATTTCCAAGTTGTTTCTCAACAGCTGAAACTCTCTTCTGATTTCTAAAATACCAGTCAAAACACCTTTCTGCAGAGAAGCTGGGCCTGTGTGGACCATAAGATATCTTGCTGATGAGTTTACAAATATCACTTAAAAAATATAGTACTTCTGGCCTTCTGACTTTTGTCTTTTTCTTGCATATTTCCTCAGTTTGTTCTCTAAATTGGCTTTGACCAGATTTCTGGCTCTTTTGTTTTTCTACTTACTGGAATGCCTGTGAAAGTGACCGGAGGAGACTGCCAGGAAATGCTGAAGCTGCTGCCATTGGGGGTGAACTTGGCCGATCCTGGAATGGTCACAGGGGGTGTGGCCTGTTAAATAAAAAACAGAGAAAGCTGTTATGAAGGGACATTTTCCCTCAGAGCCTTAAGCTCTCATTACCAAAGCAGGGCCTCAGAAATGGTTTCAACTGTATTAATAACTTAGACTAATTATATAATAGGAGAAGATTAAACAGGGTCAAAGAGAGTAGCTAGAAATAAACGTTTTATATATGTAAGCAACCTATCTAAAGTATAAAAGGAGATGGGTTTTGATTGCTAATATTTGAAAAGAAATTTTATTAATATATAAATATACCTGTTATCCCTGTGAGATACAATTCCTATCATATTGGGAAATATACATTTTTATACTGTGATGGTGGGTGTTTAAATTGGTACATCATTTTGGGAGGGTAATTTGGCAATATGTGTCAAAATTCTTATCATTGTGTGTATTATATATTTCACTTCTAGGAATTCATTTTAAAGAAATGGACACAGGATGTTCTTTGCGCAACCATATATTATTAAAAAAACTGGAAACAACACAAATGCCCAATAATAGGGAAAGAGGTAAACATTAGATTATTAAATATGAAATGTCTGATTTTGAATCAAAAGTTTAGTTTATTATATCTCAAACAAGCAGCAGTACAATTAATCAAAGTATGCGCCTCAACTATTGACATAGTTTTGCCATCTTAATGGTAGCTTTTTTATGCCAGCAGCGAAGAAGGCTGGAGAGCAAGTGGTAATGAAATTATGAAAGGAGTTTTCCATAGCTTGTTGAGAATTGAGTATTTTTCCTTGCAAGAAGTGGTCCAAAGCCTGGAAGAAGTGGCAGTCACTTGGTGTAAAGTCTGGTGAATACAGTGGATGACCGAGAGTTTCCAAGTCCAACCTCTGTAGTTTGAGGAGCATTGTTTGTGTGACAGGTGGTCCAGCACTGTCTTGCAAGGGGATTGGCCTGTTTCTATTGGCCAATCTTGGCTCCTTAATTGAAAGCATCCTCATCATTTCATCCAATTGTTGCAGTAGATATCTGCTGTAATAGACTAAACAGGTTTCATGAAGCTGTAGTGGATAATATCAGTGCTGGACCACCAAACAGACACCATTAGCTTTTTTTTGATGAAGATTCCATTTCGACTGTGTTTCGGCACTTCGTTTTTATCCAACTATTGTGCTGAATGCTTGTGATTGTCAAAAATTCCATTTTTCATCACACGTAACAATACGGTGTAGAAATGGTTCACCTTTATGTCATGACAGCAAAGAGCTTTGAGATGATTTCTTTTGATTTCTTTTCTGGAGCTCGTTTAATTCACGTGGAACCCATCTACCCAGCGTCTTTACCTTGCCAATTTGTTTCAAATAGTCCAACATTGTTGGAATAGTAATGTCAAACCTTGCTGCTAATTCACGCATAGTTTGAGATGGATTCGCTTCCACTATAGCTTTCAGCTCATCATTATGTACGTTGGTCTCGGGTCACTCATGTGGCTCATTTTCAAGATTAAAATCACCAGAGTGGAACTTCTCAAACCATCGATGTGCTGTGTGTTCATTAGCCACATCCTTTCCCAACACTTCATTGATATTTCCAGCTGTCTGTGCAGCTTTGGTTCCACAATGGAACTCATATTCAAAAATAACACAAATTTTTGACTTATCCATGGTTTCACAAAAATTGTTCTAAAAAAAATTTGATAGATAATCACAAGCCAAATCATGTATTTGAAAGACTGTGAATGTACCTTCACCATAAAAATAAAACAAGAAGTGTCAAAGTGATATGTCAGAGATACCAACTGTCAAACTTAGTACTTAAGGAAATTGGACATTTCATACTTATTAATATAAGAAACTCAATACAACAGCAGAAAACCAAATAATCCCACAAAAAATTGGGCAAAGGATCTGAATAGACATTTCTCAAAAGAATACATATAAATGGCCAATAGGTACATGAAAAAATGCTCAACATCACTAATCATCAGGGAAATGCAAATCCAAACCACAGTGAGATATCATCTTACCCAGTTAGAATGGCTATTATTAAAAAGATAAAAAATAACAGATGCTGGTGAGGATGCAGAGAAAAGAGAACATTTATACGCTGTTGGTAGGAATGTAAATTAGTACAGCCATTATGGAAAACAGTATGGAGATTTCTCAAAAAACTAAAAATAAAACTACCATATAATCCAGCAATCCTATTACTGGATATTTATTCAAAGGAAAGGAAGTAAGTATATCAAAAGGATACCTAGGCCAGGCGTGGTGGCTCACGCCTGTAATCCTGGCTCTCTGGGAGGCCGAGGCGGGCGGATTGTTTGAGCTCAGGAGTTCGAAACCAGCCTGAGCAAGAGCGAGA